AGGTCTTCTTCTTGCCATGCATGAATGGCCAACACCAGCTGTGGTCCATCTCATCTGAAGGCTAAGGCATTCTACAACGGAGGGGAGCGTCATTCCACGCCACCCAACTGAAGCCACTGAATCAATGGCAAGGGATGGAAAGGGCATTCCCAGCCATGGCAGAGAAAGATGGGGCTGTTGGAGGCAGAAATTAACATTGGAGGGGGGTGGTGTTCCTGGCTCTCCCTTTTCACAGAAAAGTTGACCCCTCACAGCTTCAACCTCAAACTGTCTACGGTGGACCTCCTCACCCCATTCCTAAGAGGTCCTTAAAGGGGGCGTGCATCAGCGCACCAGCGTGCCTACCATCCCTGTCTCGCTGTCCCTATTGATCTGTATTTAGTCCCTTTGTTCTTGTTTATGTTCATACTTGTGCTTGGTATCTTGTACATGTTTGACAAACACATAAAATACAATAAAGAATTCTCTGTCGGATCAACCCCACCGGTACAGGTTTCAGCAGGTGGCAGCCTTGCCTGGATTCAGAAGCTAGGTAGACCTCAATTTTTCTCTTAGCAACTGTTCGAAGTTAAAATGGCACTGGGGGAAAGAAAAGTGATTTATGACCGGTGGGTGCACTTATGACCGTTGCAGTCATGTGGTGAAAATGGACGTGGTCTGTTGGAAATAGACATACTCGCCATGGCTATCCCAAATAGTCCCGCTATGTCAGGCATTTTCATCGGGGTTTCAAAGTCCCAAAGATGTCCCTGGGCCAAGAAGAGAAGCAACCTTGGCTCCAATCTATCTCAGCTCCAAAGTTATGCTTTACCCAAGGACTGTAAGCATTAATCATTAATCTGGAGATGCCATGCGCTCAGAACATCTTATCGCCTGGTTGACTCAGAAGGATGACCAGTTCAAATCGGCTGAGGGAAGAAAGGGAGGGAGGAAGGGAGGGGAGAGGGAGGGAGGGAGGAAAAGGGAGAAAGGGGAAGGAGGGAGGGAAGGGGGGGGGGGAGGGAGGGAGGGAGGAAGAGAAGGAGTAAGGAAGGAGGGAGGGAGAAAAGGGAGAAAGGAGAAGGAGGGAAGAAGGGAGGAAGGGAGGAAGAGAAGGAGTAAGGAAGAAAGGGAGAGAGGGAAGGAGGGAGGAAAAGGAAGAAAGGAGAATGAGGAAAGGAGGGAAGGAAAGAAGGGAGGAATGAAAGGAGGGAGGGAGGATGGAAGGAAGGAAGGAAAGAAGGAAATATGGGCAAGATGAAACTATTTTCCTCTTAAATTCAGCTTCGAATAGCGGTTTAAAGAAAGGCATTTGAGCCCCTGTGTGCAAGTTTGTCTTCTTAATATACAGGCAGAAGTGTGCCTGCTGTGCATGGGTTTTTCACTTTGTTTTATATATATATATATATATATATATTCACACACACACACACACATATGCAATATCTCCATATCTCTCTCTGTATGTGTTTGTTATTCCTTCTAACCATGAGAATCTCTTCAGGAAATTTGCTTAGCATTTATAGAAATTAGATGTCTCTCTGGAGTATTTTTCATTTCCTCTCGGTTATTTATTTATGTAGTTTCAAACAGAAATCTTGCTGGGTCATTGAATAGAAAACACGCAGACCCAGCTGTTCAACCAGTACTTACCGCACAGCAGGGCTGGCCCCGTAAAGGGCAGAAGCTGTTCATTCTGATTGACCAAAAAACTCTTATGAATAAGTTTTAAAAACCCTTCCGCGCATCTCGGCAAGCGCCGTTTCCTACTATTATTATTTTTTTTAAAAGAGAGAGATGTCACATGCTTATGTGCCTAAGACAGATTCTTATGGAAACGCGGAATGCCTTTGTTCCCTTGTAAACAGGCTATAGAAATTCTCCATTTAAAAAAAAAAAATCCTATTCTTTCTAATTGAAAAGGAGGTTGAAGGACTGGAATGGAAAGTCTCCCTCCAATAGTTTTATCCTACGTGTCTGTTTTGTATTAATTAATTCAAAGTCCCAAAGATATCCCTGGACTATCTCCGGGGAGATGAGTCTGCCTAAAGGAGGTGGACCAGTTGCTTTCGTAGTATGGAGACAACAACTTGGTCCTCAACACCAATAAGACCCAGGAACTGAAAGTGGACGATGTAGAAGGAACAGGTCAGACATCCAGCCCTTGCTTATCAAGGGAGACTGGGTGGCACAAGTGGCCAGTTTTAAGTTACCCTAAAAGAGGACCTGACTTGGGGTGCTCATATTTCAGCCCTGGTCAAAAGGGCCCAGCAGAGATTATACGACCTGAGGCTTCTCAGGAAACAACAACTGTATGAAAAACTGTTAGTGACCATCTACTGGTGCACCAGAGAGAGTATCTTTACTTATTGCACCTCTGTATGGTTTGCCAATTGCACAGGGGCAGATAGGAAAGCGCTCCAGAGGGTTAATGTCATTGCCCATAAGATCATTGGTTGCCCTCTCCCCTCTTTGGAAGAGCTTTATAGCTCCCGCTGCCTTAAGAAAGTTCAAAACATTCTCAAAGATCCAACCCATCCTGGGCATCCCCCCCTTTTTTTTTTGAACTATTACCATCTGGCAGACAGTACAGGATAATAAAAATAAGGGCAAATAGGCTGAAAAACAGCTTCTCTCCCAGGGCAGTGGCTCTTTTGAATTCTATTGTATAGTGCAATATGAATGCAATATCAGGGGTTTTCCATTCAATGTGTGGAGTGTGAAGGATGTGTGTTTGTGTTTATTTTCATAGTCATGATGTACACTGAAGATGGTATTTAATTTCGTTGCACGAGATGAAATGAGCATAAAGTAAACTAAACTAAACTAGAAGAGAAGTAATCTTGGCTCTAATCAATCTCAGCTCCAAAATTATGCTTTACCCAATGATCATAGACATCAAACAGGAGATGCCATGTTCTCAGAATATCTTATGGCTGGGTTGACTCAGAAGTACGTCCAGTTCAAATCAGCAGTGGTAAGAAGAGGGAGGGAGGGAGGAAAAGGAAGGAAGGAGAATGAGGAAAGGAGGGAAGGAAAGGAGGGAGGGAAGGAGGAAGGAAAGGAGGAAGAGAGGAAGAGGGAGGAAAGGAGGGAAGGAGGAAAAGGAAGAAAGGAGAAGGAGGGAAGGAGGAAGGAAGAGGGAGGGAGGGAGGGAAAGGAAGAAAGGAGAATGAAGGAAAAAGGGAGGGAAGAAGGGAGGGAGGGAACAAGAAAAGGAGGAAGGAAGGAAGAGGGAGGGAAGGAGGGAAGAAAAAGAAGAAAGGTGAAGGAGAAAAAGAGTGAAGGAAAGAAGGGAGGGAGGAAAGGAGGGAAGGAGGAAGGAAAAGGGAGGGAAGGAGGGAGGAAAGGGAAGAAAGGAGAATGAGGAAAGGAGGGAGGGAGGTAAGGAGAGAGGAAGGAAAGATAACTCTGGGCCAAAAAGAGAAGCTATCTTGACTCTGGTCAATCTCAGCTCAGTATGTTTTGTATTAATTAGAGTTTTGTAACACTTTTTGGCTTTTTAATGGTGTGCCAGTGTGGTGACGCATCGCAGACGCATGCTTAGAAGGGACGAGGCTTTCTTTCATACGTCACAATCACCATCTTGACTTAATCAAGAGTTCTTCCTGACCCGTGAGAAACTGTAATTCCTCCATGACTTTTAATAAGGATTTGGAACTCTACTATAAGGATTTGGGGTGGGGGTGGTGAATAACCTTTGTGGCTTTCGGGAGTTTCGGCTCCTCCTAGAAGGATCCCGAATGAAATTCAACTGCGGATGGTATAGGAGAGTTTGACCCTTTAGGAAAAGTAGATCAAAACTAAAAGAGAAGCAGAAACTCACCTCAGAGGCAGAAGCTCAATCCCCTCTCCCACCTTTGTTAATGGGCGGGCCATTAAGGCCTGGGCCAGAGTATTCTACATGACAAAGGCCTCTACCCATCTCACCACCTGGCGTGGGAAAATTGCATCAGCTCAGCACTCAGGTGAAGCCATGGGGTCCAGACAAAGCCTACAGAGTTAGCTAAGACCCCCCGCCCCTGGGAGTCTGACAGCCAATGGGATACATTTCTTGCACAGGAACAGGAAACACTAAGAGGGCATATAACTAAGGGTCTCTCAGCATCTTGCACCTCCTTCTTTTTCTATGCCACCAGCCAAAACCTTGAAGATTTTTAATTAGTCAAAGCTGGCCCAGCTGACACATGAAGAAACCAAGACCAAGCCAGAATAAGCTATGCACAAAATTGGAAATTGTCTACCAATTTTGCACAGAGATGGATAAGCCTAACTAAATTACTAAAAAATAATCAAGATAGTGATTACTGTAAAACATGGAATTGCTGGTATGAATGGTAAAAGAAAAGGCAATGTTTGACAACTGGATAAGATATGAAATTATGGAAGACGTGTGTTTAATTATAAAATATTCTGTGAAATTAAAACATTAAAAGAACGAGGAAGGTACTGTAACAAGGTAGACCACGTCAATGTTAGGGGGATTAAAAAAAATGGGTGTAACCATCGCTCAATACCTGCTGTAAAATGTATATTTTATATTTGGATCTTTGGTTATTCGGGTTTTCTCCCATGTAGAATTGGAAGTATCTAGGCGACGTTTCAATGAAATCTCATTCATCATCTTCAGGCTTGTGTCTTCAGCCTTGTGCTTCTCAGAGTAATGAGTACATATATTTGTTTATATGTTTGTATGTTTTTAAATGTTTTAAATGTATGAATCTTAAATAAACTTTATTTTATTCTTTAAAAAAAAAGAAAAAGAAACCAAGACCTTTTTAACTGGGATGCGTGTCCCACTACATCCACGTAATGAATTCACTTGCTACAACTTACTCTGTTTATTCCCGACAAGACAGTCCTTCGGGGCTCTCTCTCTCTCTCTCTCTTTCTCTCTCTCTCCTAGCGGAAAATACATTCCAAGCTGAAAATTTTCAGAAGTGAACTGACGGCTGTTGTGCTCTCTTGCCACTAAGCATCACTATCATTTTATTTCCCCCTCCTGTGTTGTTGCTTTCCAGGTCAACCCCTCAATGTGGTTTGCAAAGCGTTTTTTGGCTTCAGCGGCGAGTCGGGCCCCATGATCTACTGGACGCGAGGGGAAAAATTTATCGAAGAACTGGAAAGTCATGTTAAAGAAGGCGAAATCAGGTACAGAACGACGTTGCTCGCATTTCCTAAAAACAACAACAACAACAAAAACCCACCTGCCTTTTGGAAAAGCATGACCTGGGTGATTGACAAGTCTCGAAGTACTGCTCTCAAACTGCTTTCATCCAGGGGTGGGCTTCAAATATTTTAGCAATGACTTCTCTTCCCGGTTGCAGGGTGAGCATGGCCATGGTGGGCGTGGCCTAGTCGGCCTCCCGCACCATGGTGTGTGGGGTGTTTGTCATGCCCCTGGTGGAGACTGACTCTGAGGGAGAGGAAAAACAGCCGACCGGGAGTGGAAATGTGGCTCCGGAGGTTGTGGAGGAGGCTGGGGAAGGGCAGAGGCCGGCTGGGCAGTCAGAGGAGGACCCAGGCCCATCCCCTCTCCATCCTAGGGCACGCAGGGAGGAGAGGATAAGGGAGAGACTTGGTCTACTCAGGAGGAGAGGTCCTTCATCCTCTTCATGGGCTGCAGCTGTGACAACTGAATAAGACAACTGCGTACTGGCGAACGCTGGAAACAAAGCATGTAAATATCTCTAGTTTATAGTTCCTCTCTGAGTTTGGAGTCCTTCCCAGGGTGTGTTATCTGTGGACACCCTCCAGCCCTTATCTTGCCTGGTTTGTGTTGCTTTTTTCCTTCTTCTTGTAACTGTTTGTGGGGGAGTTTTTTGTCTTCCGTCAAGAATATTGGAAGCAAAGTGAAGAAATAAAAGGGACTTCACTGTTGTTGTTATTTTTTTTTTGTGACTGTGTTTGTTTTGTATCCCACTCTGGGTCATCACAGTGTTTTTGCCCTCCCCGGACTCCGGAGGCTTTCCTTGAGACTCCGGGAGAGCAAAAAACAGCCTTCCCAGGCTCCGGAGGCTCTCTGGAAGCTGGAAATGGGCCCATTTCCAGCCTTTCTGAACTTCCAGGTGGCCCATTTTTTTGCCCTCCCCCAGCCTCTGGGTGTGCCCTGCACTTACCTGCATCCAAAATGGGCCGTGTGGGGACTCCTGGGAGGGGAGGGGCAGGGTGGGCAGGGCCAGCCAGGAGTGGGATTAGGGGTTGTCCCGAACTGCACAGAATCTTAGCGAGGGGCTCTCCCGAACCCCTGCAAACGGCCAGCAGCCCACTCCTGTTTTCATCCTTAGAGCGGCTGATGAACCTCTTTCATTCCACAGGCATCATCATTGTGAGGAATCTTTACTGCTATGTTCTGAGCATCTTTAGGAGTCATCTAATAGGGGCAGGGGGAGCTCCAGATGGCGGTAGAAGAGGGCCGCTTCCTTTGGGTTTCACCAGCCTTCCATGTCTATAGGTACATTACTGGAGCCTGGAGCATCACGTTGTAGAAGGTTGTTAGAATCAAATCCCCAGAGTATTGAGTCTTCCTGAAGGAATCTATTCTGACCCAGCTCCCCACTGAAGTGAACCCCAAGATTTCTTTATGAGGAGTGCCAGCAGCCCTGCCCAAAAAGTACCTTTCTCAATGCAGCCTAACAAGTCCGGATGGCTGGAAGATGAATAGTTCTCTGCCCTATTTATTCATCTATGCCCCCTGACTTTTATCCCCAGAGGTCGGGTGAGGCTTCACTAGCAGCAGTGGCTCTTCCATCCCAGGGACCAGTCCATAGATTTCCACTGCTCTCCTCTCCTCTCTTCTGCCTTCTGTGCATCCACGCATCAGGCACTGGACCCAGCTGTTCCTCCACTTCCTTGTCAGCCACCTCCAGACCTGGGGGCTGTTGACCCTCCATTTGAGGGCTGACGGACAGCCGAGGCTCCGCCTCTTTCTCTCTCTCTGACAGCTGCATTCCTTCTTCCCCCTTGTAGCTCTCAGGTTGCCCTGATGCTGACCCAGACTGCCATGCTGCCTCCTCCTCCTCCTCCTCCTCCTCCTCCTCTTCCTCCTCCTCCTCCTCCTCTGATTCCACTGCAGGAGGGCCTGGTGGCCAACAGGCCACAACAGTATCTCATCTATCTTTGGCCTGCTGATGAACCCTCCAATGTTTTTCTGTTTTCTTTCAGGCTCCTCAAAGAGCACCTTGGAGAAAAAATTGTGGAGTTAACATTAATCTTTGACATTGTGAAAGAAGCAGACCTAGCCAATTACACATGCCATGTCGAAAACAGAAATGGGAAGAAACAGGCGAGCATCATTCTGAGAAAACGAGGTATTTTTCTTCCTTTTTTTCCCCTTTTCCCTCCTGTCTCCATCAACGTAGCTGCGAGTTCTGAAGAAATGAAGAGGGCTATTTTCCCATCCTGAAAATATATGTACTATATTCCTTCCGGAATTGAATGAGCCAAGAAATGAAATGCGGTGAAATCACTCTTGTTGTACCGATGGGGATTTTAGTTATTCTGCTGGTGTCTTATACTCAGTTTTCAAGAATTGGGGACTACGGTTCCTATTGTCACTCATCATTTGCAATGGGGGTTGAGGGTGCTGTCAGAAATGTTTAAAGTGAGGTATGAAAATGGTGCCTAAAATTCCTCTGGAGGCTCATAAAGACGTGGGGCCAAAAATGTGGAGCCTTGTTCATTTCTATTTTGGGGTTGAGGAGAAATTGAAAGGACAAAGTGGGCAGCTGAAGTCTTGCATATGCCTTGGTTGATGTAGGAGAAGAGGCAGAGCCTGTGGATGGAGTCAAGAGAGAACTCAGCCTAGAATCACTACATGTTCACAAACTCTCCAAGTTCAACCCCTCTTGAATTCCATCGACTCTTATCTAGTGCAAATTTTGTGTTGACAATTAGCTGACTAGGTTCTTCTGTACAGGCATGAGCAATAAACCTTTCAGCGTTCCAACTAGAGGAGGTATTCAGCAGGTTCTGGCCAGTTCTGGAGAATTGGTAGTGAGTAGTTTGGAGAACCGGCAAATCCCACCTCTGACTGGCCCCACCCCCATCTCTTCTCTGCCTCCCATTGAGTCCCAGCTGATCGACTGGGCCTTCTTGTGTTGCCCTGCACAGGAGAACGAAGCTGGAAAGCAGGTTAGCGGGGTGGAGAAATCCCACCTCTGACTGGCCATGCCCCCATCTCTTCTCTGCCTCCCATTGAGTCCCAGCTGATCGGCTGGGTCTTCTTTGGTTGCCCTGCACAGGAGAACGGAGCTGGAAAGCAGGTTAGTGGGGTGGAGAAATCCCACCTCTGACTGGCTTCACCCCCATCTATTCTCTGCCTCTCGAGTCCCAGCTGATCGGCTGGGTCTTCTTTGGTTGCCCTGCACAGGAGAACGGAGCTGGAAAGCAGGTTAGTGGGGTTGGGAGGGAATGGGGATCTTGCAGTATCCTTCCCCTGCCACGCCCACCAAGCCACGCCCACAGAACCAGTAATTAAAAAATGTTGAATCCCACCACTGGTTCCAATTAACAAACTCCAAATCAATAAACTCCGAGACAAGCATTTTCTTAAAGTTCCCTTTTATTAGAGTTGTCATATTGGCATATCTGGAAAAACCTGAATCTGAGAGTTCCATGTTTTCCCTTCCCAAAAGAGAATCGAAAAATCCATCCCCCTGCACCCATCAGTCCATCACATGGCCCAACCAAATCGTCGCCCCAACGGGAGACATCCTTCCAGTCACTCCCCTCCAGGTGCAGGGCAACATGTCCTTGACTCTCTGAGAAAAGAATGTTGTTGAGTCTAATCTTCCACCTCTCCATGAAATCCACCCTCCCAAATTCCCAGACACTAAATGTGGCAGCCTCGAAGCTTCTAATTAAAATATGGCTTCCAAAGCTGACAAAATCAGCTTAACTGGAACTTGGATAGAATCAAGATCACGTGACGTGTTAGCACCACTTTATAATGCCTTGGTAAGGCCACACGTGGAATACTGCATCCTGTTTTAAAACGGTTCATCCATTCACACATGCATTTTGAAAAGACTGGATTTTTTTTTTTTTTAAATTGGATGGTGTTGCAGAATGAAAATAATGGGTGTTGACTGGCTGGATCGAATAGTTGCTTCTGAAGGCTTTTCCTTCAGGAAAAGACAGTTTTTCCATCCTTCTGTGCTACACTAGTTTTAATTGAATTCGCACAATATCCCAAGCCACGAAGTAGTTTGTTTTGGCATTATCCTAAGCCATAAAGTAGTTTGTTTTGGATGGGTTGACTTAGCTTGCTTGTTTTCTCTCAATCAATTATTGGCAGCCAGAGTTCAGTTATAAGATGAGTGTTGTTATGATTGATTGAATGAATGAATGAATGAATGAATGAATGAATGAATGAAATTAGAGACTCTTCTCCAAGCTACTATTAAACAATGGCTACGTGCAATATGCAAAACAAATCAATAAAGAGACATAGAAGGGGGGGCCACTGCTTCCAAATTCCTCCTTCCTATTCAACTCAAAGGCTGGATATGTTCCTTCCCAGCATAGATTTTCTTATTATTATCTTTCACAGGCTTTTGTTACTGGGTTTTTTTTCCCCTCCCTTTTCTTTAACCAACCTGGTCAATTTATAAAAAATGATTTTTCTGCCACTTCCTATGCTGCCTAAACATGCTTTCTTTCTCGGAGAACACGCTGAGAGCAAAATCAGAGTCTCATTGGGTGTTTTAGAGTTTGTTCAATCCATACGAGGAAATTGGTTTGGCTGTCGATAGACATGAAAGTAAGGAGGAGTGCTTGGAATTAACAACCTGTTTGCATCAAATGCATGTCCCAGACGGAGCCCAGGAGTGGCATGAAAAGTAATTTATGGAGGAAAAATTTACAACGGAGATGGTGTGGCAGGGTGCAATTGGATATTTAACTCTTGGCAGAGGTGGTATTCAGCAGGTTCTGACCAGTTCTGGAGAACCGGTAGTGGAAATGTTGAGTAGTTCATAGAATTGGCAAATACTCCCTCTGACTGGCCCCACCCCCATCTATTCTCTGCCTCCCATTGAGTCCCAGATGATTGGCTGGGTCTTCTTTGGTTGTCCTGCACAGGAGAACGGAGCTGGAAAGCAGGTTAGTGGGGGTGGGGAGGGAATGGGATTTTGCAGTATCCTTCCCCTGCCACACCCACCAAGCCACACCCATAGAACTGGTAGTAATTTTTTTTTCAATCCCACCACTGACTCTTTCCCTCATCAACTCTTCTCCAAGCTAATTCTCTTTGCTCCCCTGCACAGTTCCAACTCAGATGTGATATACGGCCGGGCTCTTTGCAATAACAATAGAACTCAGACTTATATACCGCTTTATAGTGCTTTACAGCCCTCTTTAAGCGGTTTACAGAGTCAGCATAATGCCCCCCAACAATCTGGGTCCTCATTTTACCCACTTCGGAAGGATGGAAGGATGAGTCGACCTTGAGCCTGGTGAGATTCGAACTGCCAAATTGCAGGCAGCCAATAGTCAGCAGAGGTTGCCTGCAATACAGCACTCTAACCACTGCGCCACCGAGGCTCTTTCAGCATGTTTTGCCTCTAATGCAGAAAAGGAAGGGGAGAGAAAGGCAGCATGGTGAAAATCAACAGAAGATTAATCAACAACACCTGTTGGAAGAAGAAGTATTGTCATTTGGTTCAAGGATTTTCTGCTCCTGACCAACCAGATCTAATACTAATACCACTCTATAAAGCATTGGTAAGACCACACCTAGAGTACTGCATCCAGTTTTGGTTACTGCACTATAAAAAAAGATGTTGAGACTCTAGAAAGAGTGCAGAGAAGAGCAACCAGGATGATGAGGGGACTGGAGACTAAAACATACGATGAACGGTTGCAGGAACTGGGCCTGGCTAGTCTAGGGAAGAGAAGGACCAGGGGAGACATGATGGCAGTCTTCCAATATTTGAGGGGCTGCCACAGAGAAGAGGAGGGGGGTCAAGCTATTTTCTAAAGCACCTGAAGGCCAGACAAGGAATAATGGATGGAAACTGAACAAGGAGAGATTCAACCTGGAAATAAGGAGAAACTTTCTGACAGTGAGAACAATCCACTGATGGAACAGAAGTTGCCTCCAGAAGTTGTGGGAGCGCCATCACTGGAGACATTCAAGAAGAGATTGGACCGCCATTGGTCAGAAATGGTGTAGGATCTCCTGCTTGGGTGGGGGGTTGGACTAGATGACCTACAAGGTCCCTTCCAACTTTGTTAATCTGACATCTTGCAGCTTGAAAGGACTGATGACACGAGGGATTTCTTTAATATTTACGGTGGAGAATTGGGGTTTGTTTCCTGAAGATGGGTGGGTGTTGGGAAAAAGGACATTGCCTTACGAATCCTAAACATTGGAGGTTCAAGACAGTGTCTGTTCTGTAAAGTATCGAAAGTATTAGTAGCTTAAAAAATCTTGATGGCCTGCTCCTGCTATAGAAGCAGAGACATCCACCAGGTTCTAGATTGTGATTAGAGAGAACCAGGGCTGGGCTGCTGGGGTTTGCACGGGTTTCGGGAGAGCCCCTAGCTAAGATTCTGTGCAGTTTAGAGAACCCCCAAATCCCACTCCTGGGGAGGCCATTTTTGCCCACCTGGAGGCTCGAGGAAAGCCTCAGGAGTCCGGGGAGGGCAAACCTCCCCCCGCCATGGTGCAGGAGGCTGACTAGGCCATGCCCACCCTGGTCACACCCACCCAGCAACCGAGCCAAGAACCCATTGCTAAAATTTTGGAAGCCCATCCCTGGAGGGCTAGACAAAGAGACCCACATTCCAAATCGATGGACAATTTGTCACGAAAGACAGCTGATACACCTCCAAAGAGCAGGAGATTAAAGTCACACCTGCCGGGAACTTAACTGTGGCTTGTCTGACATCATCCGGGGATTCTGAGAAGCTTTAGAGGAGAAAATAGGCACTGTGTTGAATCTCCGTGTTCTTCTAAACCTCCCCCTTTATTGATCCAAAGGCGCACCTTATTCGTGACATTTGGAAGGAAAGAAGCCAGTGAACTCCCACCATTAATTGCAGAACCCAAAAAGCTTTCAAGAAGAAAAGTTAACCATGAACTTCGACTGCGTGCAAAGCTGTGTAAAGTTCAGAGTGATGTCGATGATATATAGACTCGTCCAAGTTGGAGAAGCGTTATATTTCCCCTTTTTATTCTTAATGGTGTCTTGAGTTGGATGCCTTTCACATTGCTTATTTATCATGGCAATAAATATCTGGGCTGAGCTAGAGTATTAAATTAATATCGCTTTTCAAAGTCTCAAAGTGTTCTTGTGGTTTCTTTTTTTTTAATTGTCAAGTTTTTTATTTTATATTTTTTGTACATATCATTGCATGAATGGCATAATACCTGGGTATCAATACATTTTAATACAAATGGACATAGTGTTATTACTCCCAGTTATTACATTTCATTATTTCATACTGTTTACACATATCTTATACTTCTGCCCTTTATTTTCTATTCCTCGCTTCTTATTCTTTCATAAATCTTAGTATATTACTTTATTACATACTGTTATTCCACTCTTATTTCTATCTCTATTTTATATTTCCCCCCAATATCTTTATAATATTCAAAGATGTGTCTTTTTAATCGTATTTCCCTTATTTATGTCTTCCCCTCTATTTTGTTAAAATTTCATCCATCTTTCTTTCATTAACCCATATCTCAATATACACTTCTAATAATAATCACAATTCTTTAAGCATTTTAAATACATCTATTCATACCAATCACCCAATCCATATATTTCTACTATTAGTACACATATTACTGTACTACATACAAGAATTATCCAGCCTAATCCTCCCTCCTATTCTTTCATGAATCTTGGTATATTAATATATATAAACTGTTATTCCCCTCTTATTTCTATCTCTATTTTAAGTTTTTTCCCCCCATATCTTTGTAATTTTCGAAAACGTGTCCTGTGGTTCTTTAATGAGTGGATGAACTAGGAAGCAAGATTAAGAATGCCCCCTGGTTACGATGCAGGGTCTCAAATGATATGTCCGTCTGTTAATAAGGCTCTCTCCCATTGGCATTGAGTTATGGTTGTCATGAATCATATTGACTTTCCACAGTTGGGTGCCAGAAGCAAGAAGTGAGCTAAATCGGGGGGCCGGGGTTGAGAACATTTTTATAATTCCCCTTTCTGTTCCATTGGGGAGTTTTGAAAAGCATTTCATGACACATTCCCTTTGGCTCTACTCTAAAGGTAAAGGTTCCCCTTGCACATACGTGTTAGTCGTTTCCAGCTCTAGGGGGCGATGCTCATCTCCTTTACAAAGCCAAAGAGCCAGCACTGTCCGAAAACTTCTCCGTGGTCATGTGGCCGGCATGACTAAATGCCTTCAAAGGTGCTTGGAACACTGTTACCTTCCCACCAAAGTGGTCTCTATTTTTCTACTTGCATTTTTTAACATGTTTTCGAGCTGCTAGATTGGCAGAAGCTGGGACCGGTAACGGGAGCTCACTCCATTACACGGCGCTAGGGATTCGAACTGCCAAACTGCCGACCTTTCTGATTGACAAGCTCAGAGTCTTAGCCACTGAGCCACCGCATCCCTACTATTGTAGAGTCCCTGGCTCTACTCTACTATTGGCAATTTTTCAACAGGACTCAAAAGAGCATGAAAATAATTTGGGAGGGTGGTGAGTGAGACCCCAGAAGACTTGAAGAAGCTTCTTGGATGAGATGCAAAATGTTTTGAAAGGGAGTAAACCAAGAAAATCCAGTTGCCGTTTGGGGGAAAAAACCACTTTGGGGGCAACCATGACTTGGATGATTGAGAATCTCTGTAGACCAAGGGTCTTCAAACTTGGCAAGTTTAAGACTTGTTGGACTTTAACTCCCAGAGTTCCTGAGCTAACATGACTGGAGGAGGAATTCTGGGAGTTGAAGTCCACAAGTCTTAAAGCTGTCAAGTTTGAAGACCCCTGCCATAGATCTTCTTTTGAGTCAAGTTTGACTATTGGTTAACTTTGTGGATATATTCATGGACTTCATCCTGGAGCAGTTGGCTATTGTCTTCTTCTAATATTTTCTTTTTGGCTTCCCAAGCTTTGAATTCCTTGGTACTGTCATCCACATCTCAACCATGCCTGATCTTAACTTCTGGGGCCAGAAAAGACCAGCTAAATCATTCCATTTTTTAACTTATTTCTTGTCTTATTCTAGATCTGATCTCCAGAATTGAACTTGCTGGAGGTTTGGGAGCTATATTTCTCTTACTGGTTTTACTTGTAACCATCTATAAGTGCTACAATATAGAGCTGATGCTATGTTACAGACAGATGTTTGGAGGAGATGAAGCCATGGATGGTGAGTAGACTTTTAAATGGCTGATCAAATGTCCATGATATGGATCAGCCACTGAAAGTATAATCCGAAATAAGAGAAACGGATGTCAATTGACAGAGCTAGAGAAGGACTATCACTCTTCAGATCCTGCTGAAATGCAATACCAGCACCTGCCAGTTTGGTTTAGTGCTTACAGCACCACACTAGGAAGCAGGAAACCGTGAGTTCAAGTCCCACCTTAGCCATGACTTTGCATCACCAGGAAATTGTGAGTTCTAGTTTCACCTCAGGCATGATAACAAGCTGGGTGATTTTGGGTCAATCCAAACCAGGAGACTGTAAGTTCACGTCTCACCTTAGCCGTGAAAACAGACTGGTTGGGTGACATTGAGCCAATCACTAGGAGATGGCGAGTTCTAGTTCTACCTTAGGTGTGAAACCTAACTGGGTGACTAATAGTCCTTCTCTGTTAGCCCAGTTCTACCAAGGAGGCGGGGGGGGGAAAGTTGCATCTTCCCCAAATCTCATCATTCACAGCCAGTTGTCCTTCATGCAAATTAGGAAAATTGCCCTAATTTGAAGAACACGAAAGAACAAGCCAGATTCCAGTTGGCTATTTAGTCTTTCTGAAGTCCTTGGTGCTCTTTGAGCTTGGTTGTTTCATTGGAGATGCTTCGTTGCCCATCTAGGTAACATCAATGCATAGTGAGTGTGGGGTTTGCTCCCTGTTTAAGATCAAGACATATCATCTCCAAAACATCCAACCAACATCCAAAAAAGCAGGGATTAACACCAGACAAACTATCAAGAAGAGAACAACACCCTAATCAATGAACTACCAAGAAAAAAAATCACACCCCTCAAATATAGCTACGGCCAGCTATTATACAGGGAGCAAACCTCATACTCCTTTCTATACTGATGATGCTACCTAGTTGGATAATGAAATGTCTGCAAGGGAGGGGAAAAAAAACCAAGCTCAGAGAGCACCAAACTCCTCACAGTTCAACTCTGAGCTATAAATATTCTCTTCTATTTTGCAGTTCCTGAGTCAGAAAACAAGTGATTGCTTGAAGTTATTTTCAGTGGTTTCTTAAACATAGACAACTTGAGTTGTTTGTAGAAAATTGAGGCTTTATCAGCCGGCTGTCCTTTTGACTTCACTACATTAGCGGTTTGATTTTTATTCTCTACAAGTCACAGGAAATTAAATCACCTAAATCACTCTAAGAATCTTCAGTCACAACCTCTCCTTTTCCCCAATAGACTTGCAGTTCTAGAGAATGATATAAATGTTGATGTCTCTGCATTAAAATGGGCTGTGATAGATATACCTGAAAAGATACACGTCAAGCATTCAAATTGAATATATCAGTTCATCTCTACCCTTAATGTGAACGATTGTTTCAGGGATATTGTTTACTGCCTTACATTCACTGCTTGCTTCATTGGGAATGAAAAATCAGCTTGTAAGGGCTACTCGTCCCTTGGTTGACATTGTAGGAAGAGAGTTGTGCTGGTCTACAGTAGCAAAACATCAGGAGGGATCCGGTAGCAGTTTCTCTGACAGATGCTTCTTCAGAAATGCTCCATGCATCTGCCGAAGTGCAGCTCCTGGAAGCTGATGCAGGTTAATAAAATGTGTCTTTCAGAAAAGGTGCTATCAATTCCCTCCTGGGTTGTCTCCTTGTGTGATGAAATGTGCACCTGAAGAAAGAGTGGGGGGGAATTCTGGTATGACCATCATGGTTTCCCACAGAGGAGTCAGCACATTCCAGATTCCAGGGATTCAAAACAAGAGACTTAAGTGGATTGGGGAAGTAAGAAGAGATTTAGAGTAGCCACAGCGTAGGTCTCTCAAGTTATGTCTATTAAGTTAGAAGGTTATAATTTTACTCTGGCAAGTTTCTGTCCATTCAATATAACTAAATAAGGACCTGGAGTCAAATGGATGTCACTGACTTGTTCTTTGGTCTTGGGATCCTGGCATCCTGAACCGTCAAAGCACAGAAAAAGAAAGAAAAGATTTTAATGTTCTAGTGAACATTTTGCAGATCGAATTCTACCTCATCGCTTCTTAATTTTATCTTTGGATATGTAAATTGGACTTGGGCATGTCTAGTTTCATGAAAAGAAAGACTAGGAGTGATGTGATAGCAGTCTTCCAGTATCTCAGGGGCTGCCCCACAGAAGAGGGAGTCAAGCTATTCTCCAAAGCACTAGAAGGCAGGACAAGAAGCAACGGATGGAAACTAATCAAGGAGAGAAGCAACCTAGAAGTAAGGAGGAATTTCCTGACAGTGAGAAAAATCAACCAGTGGAGCAGCTCGCCTCCAGAAGTTGTGAATGCTCCAACAATACTGGAAGTTTTGAAAAAGATGTTGGATAACCATTTGTCTGAAGTGGTGTAGGGTTTCCTGCCTGGGCAGGGGGGTTGGACTAGAAGACCTCCAAGGTCCCTTCCAACTCTGCTATTCTATTCTGTTCTGTTCCATTCCGTTCCATTGCATTCCATATTTTATTTTATTTTATTTTATTTTATTTTATTTTATTT